TGCATTGTATGTTTTAAGTTTATAACCAGCTGATATAGTTATATGTCAGGACTCTACTAGACTGTTTCTGGAACAAATCAACAAGGTTGAAGTGAGTAATTTCAGTCAAAATTATTTTGGTGTTCTCGCCCTATTGGACTGAGGAAGGAAGCCATGCTCAGTTCACCCTATAGCATGTGCTCCACTAGAAGGTATCCATTATTGTCTTGAACTTGAATACAATAGAGGACTTGAATAGAGGACTTAATCCCACTGATCTTCCCACACAATGGGCTGCATTCAACTCCTCCTATTAGTAGCTACTGGTCTCCAAGTTTGTGTGAATGATCCTTGGACATACAATGCCCAGTCATTAGATGCTCACTTTGTTCAGAGTCCCCTTATCAGGAAGCATTTTCTGAAGAGAAGAATTTTGTACAATTCCAATAGCGATGCTTCCTTCCAGATTGAAATACTCAGAGCTGGAGACATTCACAGTAACCCTGGGCCTACTGCACATATTGTAAGTGAAGTTACACCACATGCTCGTGTACAACACAAGTACAGTCATGAGAGTCTTCTCACTATCCAGAATGACTGCAAGAAGCTATTACCACATGATGTTTATTCTACCATCAAGTCTCTTGGACTTAATCGTCAGAGGCCAACTCGTAGAGGAACCAGAGCGGGTCGGCAAACCAAGGCGCGGTCTCACCTCGTAACTACATCACCTCTTCAGACATCTCAACATGCCCCTGCTACACTACAGTCACCTACCTTCTCCGCAGCATACACAGTTACAACAGAGCAGCATATCCCTGTTGTCGAATTTACACCTAGATATGACCAATGCCCTAGATACCTCAGCAGAAATATCAACAACCTTATCGAGATACCGCGAGTATGCATCAATTCTGCTGGACAGGACTCGCTCAAACTCTGCACTGCCAATTTCAGGTCATTGAGAAATAAGTCAGCAGCAGTAATGGACTACGTTTGTGACAGCAATGCCGACCTGTACGCTATAACCGAAACGTGGCTTACAGAGAATGACGCAGCAGTCATCAATGACATCGTCCCTACAGGTCACAAATTCCTACACCATCCGCGTGCTGGTCGTCGCGGCGGAGGAACAGGTCTTCTTCACAAAGATACCATTGATGTCCGTGAGGGCAAAGCTGGTGAGACAAAGTCATTTGAATTTGCTGAATATCATGTCACCTTTGGATCGTTTCAGCTCAGACTTTTCAATCTTTACAGACCACCTTACTCCGAGAATCACCGCGTTCCCATCTCCACGTTCTTATCTGAATTCAGCGAGTTTATACAACCACATCTGATGTCGAACATTCCTATTATTTTGACTGGAGACTATAACATTCATGTTGATGTTATTGATAATCCTGAGTCAAGATCGTTTAGAAATCTGTTAGAATCTATTGGATGTATTCAACATGTTAACGTAGCTACTCATGTACAAGGCCATACCTTAGATCTGATTATAACTCGTCAATCTGATGATATTGTATTGGGGCAACCTTGGTCAGACTCATTGGTGTCTGACCACATGTCTGTTTTCTGTACGCTTAAAGTTTGTAAACCTCCTTTGTCTGTAAATATGGTCTCCTTTCGCAAACTTTCCACTGTTAAGTTCGATGCACTTAATAATGACCTCGCTTCAAGTGAGCTTTGTTTAAACCCTCCTGATTCTCTTGATGACTTAGCCTCATCTTATAATTCTACTTTACGGTCTATTCTAGATAAACATGCTCCACTGTGTTCAAAAAAGGTAAATAATCGCCCCAGAGTGCCATGGTTTACTGATAATATAAGAATGGAAAAGAAGAAGAGAAGGAAGGCAGAAAAGAAATGGAGGAAATCTCAGTCTGTCTCTGACCACAATGCATTTAAGTTAGCTCGAAACAAGATGTTGTTTGTAATGAATAATTCTCGTATTAAGTATTATACCGACTGTATTACTGACAATAGCTCAAATCAAAGGAAACTCTTTGATGTAACAAAGTCCTTGTTGAACATGACAAAAAGTGATTCTGTCATACCTCCTAGTGTTGATAACCATGATTTTGTCAATGGACTTGGTGACTTTTTTTAACAAAAGGTAGTCAAAATTCACTGTGATATCGAATCAGTGTTGCATGAAGAGGATATCAGTGTTGATAATTCCTTGGAATACTCATCCTCATCCAATCCACCCAAGTTTGCAAATTTCATGCCGTTATCCCAAAGTGATGTTCGGAAACTTGTAATGAACCTCAGTAAGAAATCATGTTCCCTCGATCTAATGCCAACAAGATTGGTTGTTGAATGTTTAGATACCTTACTACCTGTGCTTACACAAATCATAAATTTGTCATTACATAATGGCAAGTTTCATTCAGGTTGGAAACTTGCCTTGGTTAGACCTATTCCAAAGAAACCCAATTCTGAAATGAACTTCAGCAACTTCAGGCCAATAAGTAATCTCCAATATGTGTCGAAGTTGGTTGAAGGGGCAGCCACTGCTCAAATTCAGGATCACCTCCTTCGTAACAACCTTTTCCCTTTAACACAATCGGCGTATAGAAAGTATCACAGTACAGAAACCGCTTTACTAAGAGTTAAGAATGACCTACTTATGGCAATGGACCAGCAGAAAGTTACATTTTTTGTACTTTTAGATCTCAGTGCCGCCTTCGACACTGTCGATCATAATATACTAGCTGAAATACTACAGTCTGATTTTGGGATTACAGATTCTGTTTTATCTTGGGTACAGTCTTACCTGTGCGATAGGGAGCAACAAATATCAATTGGTAACACCACCTCAAAGAAATTCGATGTTAGATGGGGTATTCCTCAAGGCTCCAGGCTCGGACCCCTCCTTTTTTCCCTTTATTCGAGTCGCCTTTTTGCTATCATCAAAGCATACTCTCAGCACATATCTTGTCACTGCTATGCAGATGATACCCAGTTATACATTTCATGTAGCCCAGTCAGGGAACAAGAACAGTCCTGTGTTTCAGCTCTTGAACACTGTCTAAGGGATCTTCGTAGGTGGATGTTAAGCTGTAAGTTGAAACTCAACGACAGCAAAACTGAATTTCTTATTATTGGAACACCTAGGCAAGTGTCAAAACTTAATATAAATTGTATAACAGTCGGAAATACTGTAGTCGAGCAGTCTATGGTTGCAAAAAACCTTGGTGTCTGGTTTGACTCTCATTTGAACATGGAGACCCATATATCCAAAACATGCAAAGCAGCCTTCTATCATCTGTACAACCTACGTCACATTCGGAAATACCTAACTCGCACATGTATCATTACATTAGTCCATGCCTTTATAACAAGCAAATTGGACTACTGTAATGGACTACTGTTTGGCTTACCAGAATCTCAGATATGTAAATTACAACGTGTACAAAATGCATGTGCCAAACTCATCTGCAATTCCCCCAAATTCTCTCATGTAACCCCACTACTTCATGATCTGCACTGGCTTCTAGTTCGCCAGAGAATCTAATTCAAAATACTCCTCCTTACTTATAAGGCACTCCATGGCTTGGCCCCCATTTATCTCAGTGAACTCCTGACGTTAAAATCACCCACCCAGTCCTACAGGCTCCGTAGTTCCCATGATACCATGCTCCTGAGTCTTCCACCTTGTAAAACAAAGGTTACTCTAGGTGACCGCGCCTTTGTTAGCGCTGCACCCAAACTCTGGAATAGTCTCCCTGCCACAATTAGACATGCATCATCAATCAATGTGTTTAAAAATAACCTGAAAACCTATCTGTTTCAGGAAAGTTTTACATAGACATTTTCATTGTAAAGCATACACAGGTTCCCCCTTAGCATCGATTTTAACTTTTAAATGTTTATTTGTATTGTTCCTTTTACTATCATTATGTCATGCGCAGTTGAGTATATACATGTAGAAACTGCGCATTATAAATTTACAATTATTATTATTATTAATTATTAATAAGGAATCTAAAAGATCACGACGTTTCGTGCGCTATTTGAAACAATTCGTCAGGTGATAAAAACTAATGTAAGCAAGGGTCTTTAATACTTTACGGGAGGACCGGCGGAGCGGTCTATAATTCACAGTGCCCTGAGTCTCAACGGTTACCCACGCCGTTTTATACACAATACCAAGAATAGATCGTCGGAACCCAAGGATTAGAAGGTATACAAGACATTTACAGTCTTGCCGTACATTGATGGGGTCTCCCAAAAACTCAAGCGCCGCCGAGAGATCCATGGCATTCGAACGGTTTTCAGATCAGATACCACCCTACGTCAACAACTTACACGCCCCAACGATCCGATTCCTCCACATAGACGGGACGGCATTGTGTACAACATCCCTTGTAAAGGATGTGACAGATCCCACATCGGTGAAACTGCCCGTCCGATAAAAGAAAGAATCACCGAGGATAAGAGGCACGTCAGGCTCCGCCGAACTGACAACTCAGCCGAACATGCTTGGGAAAACCAGCATCAACCAGACTGGGACGGGGTTCAGTGTCTTTCCCAGGAACGGCATTAGTACACACAGAGGGTAAAAAAAGCTATCAATATCCGTCTCAATCCTAATAATTTCGAATGTTGGATGCGGACGATACGCCGCCATGACACTCACCGTCTAGCCGGTCAACACCGGTCGATTCCATTCAGCAGACGGTTCGAACCAGGGGCCCCTTGATTGGTTGAGCACCGTATGCGTCGGCCAATAAGCCTGGTGCATTAGCCGAACCAGCGGCCGAACCAGCGGCCTGGTGATCGGTCGATCACCGTGTGCGTCGACCAATAGGCATTGTGCGTTATTGTTCCAATTATCGATCGAATTATAGACCGCTCCGCCGGTCCTCCCGTAAAGTATAAAAGACCTTTGCTTACATTAGTTTTTTATCACCTGACGAAGTGTTGCAGATAGCGCACGAAACGTCGTGATATTTTAGATTCCTTATTGACCACATCCGCAATGAGTAATACATAGCATTAGTTTAATTTGGTTGCTATTAATTTCCATTCAACATAATGTTGCTATCATAACAGATTGAGACTCTTGACATCCGCTCTGCTGATCTCAGTGAACGTCCCTCTGCATCACGTGATCTCGCTCAGTTCATCCGTAAGATGACTCATCTGAAGGACCTGACGCTCCGCGGTCAGTATCACGATGATTTCTACTCAACATCGTCATCGATGGCATCATCTTCAAAGGTATTGATTTGATCATATATTTTAGTATTCTTAGCAAATCACTACATGTTTTGTTATACTGTTGGTGTACTCTTTCCTATAAAGTCAATCGCAAGTATACAATTTTACTCTCCCTGTTGGTACATCGATACGAGCAAGCAGATAGGAAAACTTGATCGCTTCAGGAAGTGGAAGCGAAAAGTGAACTTTCTGCCATAGTACATACACAGAATGAAGATTATAAAGATTGATATTGAATAATATATACCATATTTTTCATTGCATATGACAATTCGGAGTGCTACGGAATTGCTAATGGAGAGACGGCTATTTCAATTGTGAATACTGATAAGCCTAAATAGTTTGATTTAAAGACGTACAAAAATGATAAATCGAATCCGTTGGTCCCTGTTTGTATTATTTATTTACCCCTTTGGAAACTACAAAGTGCATAATTATGTTTGTTTTTACACTTTTCTTAAATGAATGAGGATGGCAATCATGGATCCGCCATTATACTGTCGTCAATACCATAATCAGGGTGTTCAGACTATCCCCCGATTGAAAGCGCACATTTTCCTTCAAGAATAGTCTGTTTGGTGACTGCTTTGCGACCACCGTTCTGCCTTCTTCTTTCATTTTCTTTTGTGTACGACTTAAGATCATGAGCCAAGTCCCTCATTCATATTTCCCCACTACCACTACCTCAGTCAACAGGTCAATATGATCTAGAAAATATTATCATCTTCTTTGTCCGTAATGCCCACAGTCCCGATTAGATCAATCAAAAACATATTCATCACCTCTGTCGTTACCTACCAGTTATGAATAAACACCATTATATCGGTCTCAAAGAATCGATAGACTACTGAAATTAGTACATATTTTAGGGGTCAAGACTTGTACCTCATTACAAAACAAATGTTGTTGTGTACAGGATTTTCAAATTGGCGACGATATCAATACAATTTTAAACATATAGTTGAATTTTGAATATATTTGTAATGGTTTGTTATTAGTATTCATTCAACATAATGTTACTATCATAACAGATTGAGACTCTTGAGATCTACTCTGCTGATCTCCCTGAACGTCATCTCAGTGAAAGTCATTTCAGTGAACGTCATCTCAGTGAACGTCCCTCTGCATCACGTGATCTCGCTCAGTTCATCTGTAAGATGACTCATCTGAAGAACCTGACAATCAAGGGTCCGTATCACGATGACTTCTACTTAACAGCGTCATCGATGGTATCATCTGCAAAGGTATTGATTTGATCGTATATTTCAGGACTCTTAGCAAATCACTACATGTTTTGTTATACTTGTGGTGTACTCTGTCCTAAATAGTCAATCGCAAGTGTACATATTTACTCTCCCTATTGGTACACCGCTTAGGAGAAGCAGGTAGGAAAAGTTCTTCTTTTTTGGAAGTCGATGCTAAAAGAGAACTTTTTGTCATAATACAAAAAAGAATAATAGTGAATAATATATATGGATTGCTCTTAAGAAAGATGACCTGCACACAGAATATCCCAATTGGAATCGTATAAGACCGTAGTCTAATGTCATTCAATCTGAAAGAACAAATTGAAGAATTCATAAGTACATAAGTCAACTGGACTCATTTATATCAGTTTCAAGTATAAATGTCACCTCTATAACAGAAAATGCAAATCTGCCTGAATATCCTTTTTCTCGTGAATAATTAAGCACTTATTTCAATATAGATATGATCAAAATGACATCTTATATCTTTCATAATATTTCTACAAATATCCCTCTTTAACATTTAGGTTTTATGAATGATAACACAAGGTCAAATAATTTATTCTGACCTTCATAACAAATGTGGCACACCTTTCAAGTCACTGATATTCATATTAAAACCCATACAGAAATTCCTTTAAATGACTTTGTCGATGGTCATACTCATTAAATAGCTTTACCAAAATACAACAGATATAATCAAATACCCTTTTGTAAGACTTTGTGTAGTTGCAAAGCCAACAGCAACCTCTGTATGCAATACCAATAACTAGTCTTAATTCAGACCATTAATCGAACGTCTATCAATACGACCATACATAAACCACAAAATCAGCCTTTTTCCTGTAAATTGTAAATACCAGAGTGCTACAATTAACCCTGAAAATAATGCCCTTTAATATTTATATACTGCTTATTCTTAGCAATGTTTCAAATACATGTCAAATATATACTTTATATCAAATGGTCTGCACACAAGACTATCAACTTTCCACGTGTACACTCTCACTGAGTGAAACTCCATTTCGTTTAGAACAAATAAGAAAACATCCATAATTTTCATGTCTGCATAAATAATTCTGAAAACACATTCACACCAAGCTGTACTCACTTCTTGGCAGGATATACTGTTGAAATAGTGATTGTCTCATTCTAAAATGAGGCATTCTTGCACAAAAAAATAGAAAGCGAACATCGCAAGATGTCACCTCTGTGAAACCCAATAGTGCTCTGCCTGTTTTTACATGAATTAGCACATACGAACACGTCGACAACCGATCTTCTTCTTCTTCGTTTGGTATTATAAATTACGTAATGGTATCTGCGAATCAAAATACATAATGAAAATCAGTTTCGTCAGCGAAACAATATACCAAACTTTTAATGTCATATGACAATTCGAACTGCTAGTGAATCGCTAATAGAGAGACAGCTATTTCAATTGTGAATGCTGATAAGACTAAATATTTAAATTTAAAAACCTACAGAAATGAAAAATCAAATGTCTCATTCCCCGTTTCTATTATTTCTGAAACCCTTTGGAGATTTCCAAGTGTTCCATATACATTTTATATAACAATTGTCTGTTATTCAAAAAAGAAGAAAAAAAAGTATTATTCAAATAAAATGACAGAATAACGTATAGCTTTTTAATGAATGAGGATGGCAACTGTACCTTGATGTAATGTTTAAAACTATTTTTAGGTAGTGCAATGTCAGCAATTGTTTATCCAATACAATGTTACTATTATAACAGATTAATGCCTGACATCCAGTATGTGGATCACCGCCCCCTTCCCCCACCACCCTCATTCATTCCGACATTTAAATGTAGTAGGATCAGTAAAATTACTGGATCATATGACCGGGGCATAAAATCCCCTCTTCTCTGACAATCATGGATCCACCACTATAATGTTGTCAATAACATAATCAAGATGTTCTGATCCCCCCCCGATTAAAAGCACACGTTTTCCTTGAAGATTAGTGTGGTTGAAGACTGGTTTGTGCCCGCTCTGCCTTCTTGTTTTATTCTCTTTTGTCCTGTAAGACTTTAGATAATGATACAAGTCCTTCATTAATATTTACCCAATAATCCCTCAGTCAACAGATCAATATGATCTAGAAAATATTATACTTAATTTTATCCATAATACCCAGAATACAGATTGGATCAATCAAAAACCTATTGATCACCTCTGTCATTATAACTATATGTTATGAATAAACACCATTATATCGGTCTCAAAAGAATCCAGGAACTATTGCAATTAGGGCTAATTTCAGGAGCCAAAACTTTAACATCATTGCACACAAAAAATTGATTGTGTAAAGAGTTTTTTTTATTTTGGTAATGATATGAATAAAATTCAATCATATTGTTGATAGTTTTATTGGGTTGTTATAAATATTTTGTCAACGTAATGTTTCTATCATAACAGATTGAGACTCTTAAATTCTTACTGGATCTCTTTGAAAGTCGCTCTGCATCACGTGCTCTCGTTCAGTTCATCTGTAAGATGACTCATCTGAAGAAGCTGACACTCCACGGTCAGTATCACGATGCCCTCTACTCAACAGTGTCATCGATGGCATTATCTGTAAAGGTATTTGTGTGATCATATTTTGTTGGACTCTTAGTAGTCCAGAATCTGCACGGTCCTTTATAATTTCCCTACACACTTGATTTAATCCGTCGAAGATGGCGTTATCAACAAACTCATAGTTATGCTCACCAGCCCAGCCAGCCGGGCGTCCTAATTTAATGATCACGCCATCATCGGCTGGTAGCAAGTAAGTAGGGAGATGTAGCGTTGTTGTGGTGGAGATCAAAATTAAAAAGGCCAGATTCTGGACTAGACTCTAAGCAAATCACTACATGTTTTTTTGTTATACGGGAGGTGTACTCTTTCCTATATAGTCATACGCAAGAGTAACATTTTACTCTCCCTATTGGTACACCGTAAAGAGTAAGCAGGTAGGAAAAATTTATCGTTTCGGGAAGTTGATGCAAAAATTGAGTTTCTGTCATAATACAAAATGAGAGGGAAGATTTTAAGATCTATAGTAAGGATATATTGACTGCTTTGAGAGGCATAGTGGTTTCTATAGGGTCAAGGGAAACTCACAACCTGCTCGCCGCGGGGTCATAGCAGGTTGTGAGTTTCCCGAGACCCTATAGAAACAACTATGCCTCGAATATTAAAAGCAGTCAATATATATTTTATATACCGAAAAAAAGGAAAATGTTGACTCACCCATTTAGGTTTCCATCTCTTTGAAGTCATGAATATTAACACCAACAATAACGAGACTAGTAAACAAAATGGCGATCGGTTGTCTGCGCTGCGTGGATTGGTAGATTCGTCGCCTGAAAGGCAGCGACCAAAATCGAATTGTACTCAAACACCGTTAACGGTATTGCGCATCGGTCATCGCACAAAAGAAACTTATACGGTAACACGTAAACCAAAATGGGGATCGCAGCAAAATGACGTCACGTTTCACAGCCATGGAAAAAGTGCTATGAAAAATGGATATAAACCGGTAGAGCCGGGGAAAATGACTATGAATTTCAATTAGCGGGCATGGTTAAGAACATGACTGCATTTTCAACCAATCAGAAGACAGGATTAGTAAAGAATCTTAAAATGAGGTATATAATGAATAATATTAACCATATTTTAAAATTTCATATGACTATTCGGGGTGCTATGGAATTGCTGATGGAGAGACAACTATTTCAACTGCGATTACTTATGAGACTATTTATATAACTTTAAAAACCTCCAAAAATGACAAATCGAATCTCTTTGTCCCCGTTTGTATTATATCTGAAACCCTTTGAAAACTGCAAAGTGTTCCATGCACATTTTATTTCACACTTTTCTGTTATGTACAATTATTTTTTTCAATATTTTTTTTTACTAAATCAAATTTCAGAATTACGTATAGCTTATGGCACTGTTTAAAAAAAAAAACTATGACCAAATAGCTAAATGGCCCTTTGAGAGCCTGAAACTTTACAAAGATAAAGAATTAGAAATCAGTTACAACTTTTTCTTGTAGCATGGACCTTAGTTAACCTCCCATAGCTTAACGAAAAATTTTCATTGTTCCTTTATGCGCATGAGGTATCCCTGAACAGCAAATTGTTTACGGAATTTCGTAACAAAATTGACATGCCATTTTGGTCGGAGCTGAAAAAAATATATAGCCACAGACAATATGTTTTTTTTCTATTGATGATTAATGAGCATGAGTGGATCTTAAAGAAACTTAACAGTAATCTGAATCAACTCCCCTATTTTGATGGAAAAGTGCAATTGAAAATGGCGTTTCGGACGTTACATTTTCTGTAAACAATGTAGACCCTCATTTAACCCACTGGAACAACAAATTAAGAGATTGTATATGGTTTGAGTGAGTTTATTAGTTGCTCCAAGTGATTATATTAAAAGAAAATATAATTTAATTATAGTAGCGCTTATATTAAAAATAAACTCAAAATTTGAAAAAGTCGTCTCATTTTCCGTAAACAGTTTTGTAACGTCCGAAACAATTTTCAAGTTGAAGTAGCAGAAAATATATGAACAGCAGGATATATCTATCATAACATTTTGTTAACATCTCATGGCAGCTACCCACCAAAACAAAGAAATTTGCAATACATTACTACAATACTATTTTATAGTTAAAACGAATTTTCCGTTAACAGTTGTAACGTCCGAAACAAATGTAACGTCCGAAACAAAAAATACCAATAAAATGATAATAATCCATAATTTAAGGTATTTAGAGTGAATAAATCATTATGAAATAAGTTATTATAAGTCTTAACACAAGTCAAAACACAAATCAGGTCTTTCAAATCCATTCATTTTTTGTAATCACAAGAATGGTGTTTCGGACGTTACACAATTTTATTGTTAACACAAAGTCGACAAATTTCACATAATTTTCGATCATATCCGCAATTTACCATTTCACATTGGACACTCCTGTTAAAAACACTATTTTGATGATTTTATTTAGGGTCCAAAACTCAAAATCACCCACTTAAAGGTAATACAAAGTTTTGGGAATTTTTTTAAAATTGGGTGGATAGTGATTCTTTACAATTTTGATATATTTGGATGCCCCTGTGGATGTATTATAAGCATATAACTAGACAATTTAGACCCTAAACTACTTCTGCTTTCGAGAAAAATTGAATATAAAATTTTTCAGGTGCTCCCAGTAAATTTTGATAAATTTCAAATAGCGCCTACGGCCGTACAATGGTAGCTGCGACCATGGAAATCTCAGAATATGTAGTTGTGATATATAATTTCCGAACGGGAACAACTAATCGGTAGATTTTAGTCAAGAAACATTGTTTTATAGTTTAATTTATATCTTGACCTTGAGAGGGAGCTATACAACATAAAGAGTTTATTATTTACAAGTTCATAACTTTTGACTCGATTTGAACCGCGACAACGATCACTGAATATTGTAGGACCGCATATGCGTCCAATATGTTCATTTGAACCAAATTCATGACCCCATACCAAAACTTTGTATTACATTTAAGCAATACCCAGTGTACATGGTCATGACATGGATATGATACAGGTATATGAAGTTGATAAAATCAAGCAAATTAAAATGTTTTTCTAAAAATTTATGAGAAATATGTATTTTCATCTGAAAATACATTTAAAAAAGGGCACTCAGTACATGTAACTTATCTATGTAGAAAGGATTACTACTGTCATTATCCAAAACTGGAATTGACATTTACGCTTAATAATGATAACAATTTATCAAGCAATTTCATGAAATTGGCTTGCACACATTATGACACACTTATTGGTTGCATACATGTACAATTGATGAGCACAAAGGCTTCCATTATAAAACAATAATCAGTAATCAGTATCCGATTCCTATTTTAGAAACTTGTACAACATAATGTTCACATAGCTGTAGATCTGCCAAATTTCTAAATGACAAGAAAATGGATTACCAAATTGTGGGGGTAATTAAAGCATGAACATAAAAATAAATTGTAGCCTTTTCAAAATTAATTAATTCATAATTTTTTCCTTTCATTGGATGAATTACCCTCAAATGTACTACCCTTATGTACAAATACTTTTCAAATACTTGACCCTCATAACAAAATGTACATGTTAATGATCATTTCATGATCCTAAAGATATAGTATCTTCCTCAAATTAATGCAAAATCTCGGGATGTACAATGAACTAGGATTCCCATATTTCTTATTATTTAAATGGCTGGGGATACTTTTGTATACTTTTATTTGTTAAAAGTATTTTTGTAATGTTTTGCTTACACTGTACATGCTGTACATGTATGTGATAGTGATATTATTGAATGACACACTACATGAATCTAGTTTAAGGCTAAGTACAAAGCAAGCCGATTAAACATCTATGTTGTAAAGTTTGTAGAAATTGATGATCTGATTGAAATGTTCACATCTTGTAACATCCTAAACAAACTATAGCATATAGTGTACACTGTTGTTCATAACCTGCAAAAGAGAGTATGTTTGTAAGTGAATTTTCTAGGAGTTGTGATGACTACAATTGCTATTTGCTCCATATTTCACTTTGTTAGATCACATAAGCATTTTTAACTACACGTTCCTGAAATGAACAGTATACCTTACATAAATTGAGTAGTCGATTAAGACAAACTAGGTATATGTGCAAAACTGATTAAAACTGCACAAGTTTTTCAAAGTTTTTTAAAACTATTTTAAGTAGTGTTATGTTAGCAATCGTTTATCCCATACCAGGCGCGTACGCAGGGGAGGGGAGGGGGGGTTGGGGTTACCCCCCCCCCTTCAGTTTTGTTTATGTGTATATTTTTTAAGAACCCCCCCCCCCCTTATGAGTTTTTTTTTTTTTTTTTTTTTTTTCCTAATGGACGTCCTAAAAAGATGACCTTACCCCCCCCCCCCCCAATGAAACGGAATGTCGATCGGTCAAATTTTCAAATTTCGGGACCCAATTTTTGGCCCGATTTCAAAATGTTAACCCCCCCCCCCCCCCTGCGTACGCCACTGTCCCATACGATGTAACTATTATAACAGATTAAGACTTGACATCCTGTATATGGATAGCCCCCCCCCCCCACCACCCCTCATCATTTCGACGTTTAAATGTAGTAGGGTCAGTAAAATTACCGGATCATATGACCGGGGGATGAAATCTCCTCTTCTCTGACAATCATGGATCCATCACTATAATGTTGTCGATAACATAATCAGGGTGTTCTGATTTTTCCTCGATTAAAAGCACACGCTTCCATGTAGAGTAGTGTGGTTGAGGACTGGCGTGTGACTGTTATGTCTTCTTGTTTTATTAAACCCCTCGTCGACGAAGTCGGAGGCGATATACATGTAGTAAAGCTGCCGCACGTCCTTCAATCTCGTTTCGGTTTGATAACTTGAGTAATGTTTATCGGATTTTAATGACATTTGATATGAAGATACATATTATTAAAATACAGCCTATGGTCGATTTCGGAGTATGTAGGTCAAAGGACAAAGGTCATAGCTCATTAAATATGCGAAAATGCCTACTTCAATATACGCGAAAAAGTTTTTTTTTAATCCAATAACTTAAGTAATGTTGTTAAGTACATATATCAAAGCTCAAAGGTCACAGCCCATTAAATATGCACAAATTGCTCAATTAAGGAAATTGAACCCGGCGAGGGGATGCTACACTTTGCGTTGACTTCTTATCTTTTGTTCTGTAAGACTTAGATCATGAGCCAAGTCCTTCATTCACATTTACCAACTACTCCCTCATTCAACAGGTCAACTTGATCTAGGAAATATTATAATTTTCTTTATCCGCAATGCCTACAGTCTCGACTGGATCAATCAAAAACAAACTAATCACCTCTGTCATTACCTATCAGTTATGAATAAACACCATTACCTCGGTCTCAAAAGAAGCCATGAACTATTGAAATTAGTTTTAATGTCATGTGTCAAGACTTGTACATCTTAAACAAACAAAATAGCTAGGATTATCTTTTACTTTTAGTGCCCTGTATTTTCCAGTAAAATGGAATTGTCCTGGGTTTTTGTATCTTCTCCTTTGTTGTGCAAGTTTGAACAATAAAGTGATGTATACAAAAAATATTGTGTTAAGAGTTTTTCACTACGGCAACGATATTTATATAATTTTTAATGAATTATTGATTCTTGAATATAGTTTTATTTAGTTGTTATTAGTATTTATTCAACATAATGTTACTATCATAACAGATTGAGAATCTCGACATCGACTCCGTTGATCTCAATGAACGTCCCTTTGCATCACGTGATCTCGCTCAGTTCATATGTAAGATGACTCATCTGAAGAACCTGACACTCGGCGGTCAATATCACTATGCCTTCTACTCAACTTCGTCACTAAAGGCATCATCTGCAAAGGTATTGATTTGATCATATTTTGTTGGACTCTTAGCAAATCACTACATATTTTTCTTATACTGTCGGTGCAGTTTTTCCTATATAGTCAAACGCAAGTGTACAATTTTACTCTCCCTAATGGAACAACTTTAAGGAGAAGCAGGTAGGAAAAGTTGATCGCTTCAGTAAGTGAATGTTAAAAGTGAACTTTCTGTCATTATACAAAAACAGAGTGAAGATTTTATGATTGATATTATAGCAATAATGACTGCTTTGAGAGCAATAGCAGAGGGCAATAGCACGATTGAGATCATGATTGAGATCTCCGTTCGTTCAATCGAATTTTAGCGACCGTGATTCTGCAGAATTATGATACAAAACGCATCTTTTTCAGCGTGTAGGTGTGTGTGTGTATTGGGTTTTTACAGAAGTGTATCAATCAGATCTGATTATTTACGTCTGGGGACCGACCTTTAAACGTCACCATCCGAAAGACGTGACTCAGTTTCGAACCTGCGTCCCCGTTCTCAGCGTTTCATGTTTGTGTTTTTAAACACGTTTATTTTTAATTTAAGCACCTACAAAAATGAAAAATCGAATCTCTTCGTTCCCGTTTGTATTATTTTTGTAATCCTTTGTAAACTGCAAAGTGTTCCATATTAATTTTATTTCACAGTTTTGTGTTAAAGAATTTGAATTTGAATTTGAATTTGAATTTGAATTTATTAACAACAACACATCACAATAATGACAGTACATATGAACAATCATACAATGCAAAAAAATAATAATACTGATACATGTATACATAACATAAGAGTAATGTCGATTGAACAGTAATGGTTTTAAAACGATATTTTTTAGACATACATCTGCATACTATTAAATGTACAAAGATATTACTATGTTTAGGTGAAGTTGTTAATGGGAACTAGAAGTTAGCACAAGTGCTAGTCGAGCCTAGTTCCATTCTTTGGCAAGTTTTTTTTTTCTGTTAATTTGTTTTTACATATGAATGTAAAACTTGATTGTTTTGTATTTACATATATACAGCAAAATAATACAATATCATGTAACTTTTTTCTTTACTAAAATGAAAAAATAAAAATAAAAAAGCTTAAGCGTAAAGCATTATAATGAAAGAAAACAAATCTTTGAAGAAATAAAATCATTAATGTGTTCATAAACATGAAAAGGATGTATTAATAAAAATAATCATACACATGTACGTACATGCACAAATCCTGTAAAAGCTTAAGGCCGCTATAATCGTTAACAAGGGAGTGTATACATATATAAAAGGAAGACAAGTAATATAAAAGGAAAATACGAAGGGGATGGGATTGAGCCCACGTCATTTACATTGAAGGTAGGTGGAAAGATGTCTCCGAAAAGATAACCTTGATGTTTTTAATCTAATTTCATCTGGCAGATCATTCCACAGCTTTGTTCCTACAAACGAAATACAAAATTGCCCGTGCGTTGTCTTACATTTTGGTTGATAAAGTAAGCCACTTTCTTTTCTCCTAGTTGCATATCTATGCTGTATCATCTGACAATAATCCACTAAAGAGTGTGGTAAAAAACCTTTTACCAAATCGTACATAAATGTTGATACAAGAAGTTCATGAAGTTGAAAAATATTTAAAATGTTTAGACTTTGGAAAAGAGCTTTGGAGTCTGTTCTAAGTGGACTGAATGTAATGGCTCTCATTGCCATTTTTTGACTTAAATATATACAATTTAGATTACTTTTGTAAGTGCTCCCCCATACTTCTACTCCATAAGAGAGGTGAGGCTGTATAAAAGCCTTATATAATAACACACAGGCGCGTACGCAGGGGGGGGGGGGGGTGTTTGGGGGTTAAACACCCCCCTTTGGTATTTTTACATGTGTAAACCCCCCTAAAAAAAACCTAAACCCCCCCCCCCCTTTGGGTTTTTTTTTTTTTTTTTCAACGGAGCAAAATGTAAAATTTTCAAATTTCGAGACCAAAAAAAAAAAAAAAAAAAGTGTCCTCTTACCCCCCCCCCCCCCCCCCCCCCCCCCCCGCTTATTCAGCGGTCGGTTGAGTCGTTGCGATTTTTTTGGGACCAAAAAAAAAAAAAAAAGTGTCCGCTTACCCTGTAAAGTCAGAATTCACTGGTGGCATTTCCTTTGCCAGCTTTGGACCTATGTTTACAACAAAGTTGTTAAATTCGTTAGCTATTTCATTGTCAGAAGTTATCACTCTATTTTCTCCACCACCTGAGCTTAATAATTTCTCTACATTGGTCACTTTATTTTTGACATTTCCACCACTCAACAACTCGTTAATTGTTCTCCACATTTTACGACTATCATTCTTATTAATGAAGAAGAGGTTACTATAATATTGTCTCTTTGCATTTCGTAGAACTGTAGTTAGAACAATATCTATACCTCTTGTATTCTTCCTCGTCTTTCTGTTGGAAATTTGATGCCTTTAGTTTAAAATACAACTTGTGCTTCTTCTTGACTGATTTTAAAATAGCATTAGTCATCCATGGTTTTCTCCCAGCATTTTCCCCCTTTTTTAGGTTCTTCGAATTTGATGATATAATTGGTGCATGCTTGTCACAGACTTGCGTAAACAAGTCGTAAAATACAGAGTACGACTCATTTAATTTTGTACAACCACTTACATTGTTCCAATCAATTTTACCTAGATCATCATGGAATTTATTAATATCATAATTTCTGAAGGTACGAAACACAGACTTTTTGTGGCTTGTTTTACTTGCCTTTCTAAGATGCTCAAATGCAACAAAGATAGGGAAATGATCTGATATATCAGTTTCTATAACTCCAGCATGAAGAAAAAATTATTTGTCAGAGTACTATTTAAATCAAAGTCAGTATAACATATAGATTTTGAAAATGAATGAGAATGGCAACTGTATACAAATTCTCAAAATAAAATCATATATATAACAGTTGGAAGAAAAAGACAACAAATTTAATAAATAAAGCATATTAACATCAAAGCACAACGATAAACGAGTAAAACTAACAATGTGAAATAAGTTACGATAAAAAAACAAAAACCTAATCTTTCATGTTGCCTTGCTTTGTAAAAATACAAATAGATATGCAAATTTTTTACATATTTAATAAAGTGAGAGAAAAAATAGAGTATAACATCAAATATGACGACAAATATATATAGTAAAGGTAAGACCATATTAAAGGTAAATAATGATACAATATATGAAGTTTAAATGACCTTTGTATTAAAAAACAGGAAGTGAGACACCGCTCATATAATATTGTAAAAGTGCAAGAAAGGTCAGATTTCACAATGTTTTGCAAGATAGAGGATTCATGATAAAATTGACAGAGAACCTATAAATCTCCCAGATCCAATTTAGTAGATACAAATTTAAAATGAGTTTGAGAAAATTTAAAAACATGTTACTTCTCTGATTCCATTCGTTTAAATACATATTGATAGTTAAACAAAGTCGGGCTTCCACTGTAAGTTTGTTCCACACTTTAACGCCATAATTCACGAAAGTGTTAGAATAAAATTCAGTATTGCACTTAAAAGGTTTCAACAGATTCTTATTACTATTTCGAGTTGTGCGTTGCATAGCATCATCTAGTCGTACACATTTTATCAGACATAGCTGGAGGAGCTAAATTAGTAATACATTTAAAAACCAGACAACAATTGGCCTTGTCGAACAATTCATTTAGAGTTGGCCATTTTAGGCCATCTAAGACCTTTCGCGACGGAATGTGCCAAGATTGTCTAGAAATAATATAAGCTGCTCTTTTATGAAGTTTATTTAGCATCGTTAGTCTTTCTTTATCAGCCGTTGTCACTGCAGGATGAAGGCCTCATCATGATGTCTCCAAATGCCTCTGTTCAGCGCCTGTTGATACCAATTTGTCTCTCCCCAGAACTGTTGCAGCTCGTCTCGCCATATTTTTCTTTGACGTCCCCTGTTTCGTTTTCCCTCATATGGTGTCCAGTGAGTGATTGCTGAGCTCCAGCGATTGTCATTCCTAAGGCTAATGTAGCCCGCCCAATTCCATTTCCTTCTTTTCACTGTTTCAAGGATGTCCTGGACTTTTGTCTGTTCCCTGATCCATTTGTTCGTTTTTCTGTCTTTGTATGTGATGCTTAGAATACTTCTTTTCATGTTGTGTTGAGAGGCTGCTAGTTTTCTTTCCAATTTTGATGTTAGTGTCCATGTTTCTGCAGCGTATGAAATTGCTGGGATGATGCACTGGTCATATACTTTCTTTTTCAGGCATAATGGAAGTTTGCCTTTTATGATGGTGCTGTATCTGCCAAAGGCTTGCCATCCAGCTTTGATTCTTCTTCTTATTTCGTTATCTTGATTTTTGTCTTGGAGGGAGAAACGATGCTCTAAGTAAATATACTCCTCTACTTGCTCCATTCTGGTACCGTTTACTTGGATTTGTTTTGGATCTTTGGCTGATCCTGCCATGACTTTATTCTTCTTCATTTTCATTTTGAGGCCTGTTAGTCGACTTGCATCGTCCAGTTCTTGCAGCATTATTTCGAGGTCGTTTAGGTTGTGAGATATGATGACAATATTGTCTGCAAATCTTAAGTGACTCATGTTTTCCCCGTTTATGTTGATTCCCTGTGATGACCAGTCTAATGTTTTGAAGATGCTCTCTAGGCAAGAAGTGAAGAATTTTGGTGAGCCGGTGTCTCTCTGTCTAACTCCCTTTCTTATCATGATTTTGTTGCTGGCCTTGTGCATTTTGACATTGTTGTAGCAGTCTGAATAAATGTCTTTAAAGATTTTGATGTATGCGTTGTTGATTCCTTGGTCGTGAAGTGCCTTCAGTACTGCATAGGTTTCTACGGAATCAAATGCCTTTTCGTAGTCTACGAATGCTACGCATAGAGGGATGTTGAACTCTTGGCATTTTTCTTTCAGTTGATTAATGGTGTGGATGTGGTCCATAGTTTAGCATATCGACATTACATTTAAATCGACTAGACCATACAGTGCAGCAATAAAGAGCATGCGGTAATACATAGCCCCAGTACAATTGTTTTAGTTGATATTGAGTTAAAGATTCACGGAGCCTGCGTACAATTCCCAGTTTCTGTTTAATTAAGAGGGGGATGTTTTCAACATGTTTACTAAATGTGAGATTTACGTCAATAGTAACACCCAGTCATAACTTTTATAGGCTGAGACACACTCCAGTCGCTTACCGCTTACACCAACCTTTAAGGTCGTATCATCATAAGTACTAATCCTTTGGTGTGAACCCACCAACATGACTTAAGTCTTGTCTGTGTTTAAAATCACTTTGTTCATCAATGTCCATTCATGGAGTTAACACATTGTGTGATTCAATTTATTTTGAATCTCTTGGATAGATGTTCCACTTACAGACAGTGTTGCATCGTATGTATACATATACACACTACATGAACTTAAATACTGGGGTAGATCATTAATCAGAATAATAAATAGAAGCGGCCCTAATACCGAGCCCTGAGGCACGCCTGAGCGAACATCCCTCTCAACCGAGGATTTATCTTGAATAGTAACAAATTGCTTTCGATTTACTAAATAGGACTGGAACCAATGTATGCTCTCTTCAGGACAACCATATTGAGCAAGTTTATGTAGCAGAATTGAGTGATTTACCGTCTCAAAAGCTTTTCTAAAATCAACATAAAAAGCAAGACCATTAACAATTCCATTATCTACATTGCTAGCCCAATGATCGATCATGCATAACAATGCCGTTTCACAAAGATGTCCTGGTCGAAACCCGAATTGGTTTTCACAAAGTTTATTATTCTGTAATAAATACTGGTACAGATGCTTGTGGACAGCCCTTTCTAGTACCTTTGATACTACAGAGAGTAGAGATATCGGTCTATAATTCTCAACTTTACTTTTGATCCCAGACTTATGGATGGGCTGAATTTGAGCTAATTTCAAGGATTCGGGCACGGACTGAGTTGATAAAGAAAAATTAAACATGTAAGTTACGCTTTCAATCGAAATCGGGACCTCACATATAAGTTTAAGTAGTTTAGTTGGCATACCGTCAGGACCTGTTGCTTTCTTAGACGACATTTGAGATAATTCGTTAAAAACAATCTCAGACGTAATGTATGGGAGATGAAATTGATCATCGCCATCATGTTCTGCATTGGAATAATTATACAAATTCTGACTCTCATTTCTTCTTAATTCTCTAATGCCTTCTATACCATCTACATCATTAGTAGTCAAATTTGTGATGGATTCGATAAGATAATCATTCAAGCAGTTTGCTACATTTAGTGGATTTGAAACAGTGTCACCATCAATTTCTAGACTGATTTCATTTCTCGGCCTTGCTTTGGTAATGACCTTTAAGGTGCTCCAAAGTGACTTTGTATTACCAAATTTATTTTGCAATAATCTATTTATATGCTCAAACCTTGCCAATCGTATGTTTTTAGTAATACAATTTTGACATGTGTATATTTGTTCCACATAGAATTACTACCACTTCTTATAGCTTGTCTATAGTACGAATCACGTCTTTTCATTAGTTCGATAATGTCACCTGTAACCCAGGGACAAGGGTTAGATCTCATAGATTTCTGTTTTGGGGGGCATGCATATTAACAGCTGCCATAAACACAGCATACCACTTGCTCCAGGCCTCCGTTGCATCAGTCATGGACAAATTGGTTTAAAAAGGCATTATAGATAACGAACTGAGGAAAATATTTTTGTTAAATTTAGGATAACTACGATATTTTATCACATTCATTTTACTTTCATTATGTTTATTACTGCCAATCACTGTATATACCATTAAGTGGTCACTGAGATGGGTTTTTATAATACCACATTTAATATGTTCTTCCGGACAGCTAGTGTAAATATGATATATCAAAGTTTGCGTTACCAAAGTAATACGTGTTGGTGACTTAATTATTTGGTGCATGAGAAATCCTGTCACAGCTGACTTTAATCTTTGAGTAGATGAATCACAATTCGAAGAGAGTTGATCACAATTAAAATCGCAAAGTATAATGATTTCTTCACTTCGAATGATTGCGTTATTCAACATGTCATCAAGCCTGTCAAAAAATTCAAGAGATGAATTTGGCGGCCTATACAAAGTACACAATAAAACTGGTTTAGAAAGAAAATTGCATTTCATCCGTATCCACAAACATTCAATTTCTGTTTCCAAATCTAAACATTGAGAATAGTGAATATTATTTTTAATGTATATTACCACTCCACCACCATGTCTTGTACGGTCTTTGCGTATTATATCGAAGCCCTCGATATAAATGTCATTGTCCAATATCGTCATGTCACAGTCGGACTCTGATATCGTAATAATATCAAAGGGATATTTCTTTACCATGAATCTCAATTGATCTATTTTAGCAGGAAGGGAGTTTATATTCAAATGACCTAATCGGATCCCAATGTCTGAAATAACTGGAATACATCCATTTACTAACTCAATGTCTTCATGACTATTGTATAATCTCTGTGACTGTTGAGGAGTCTCCGGGCTGTTTGAGAACAATCTAGCCAGTCTCGTGTGAAAACACGGTCGGACGCTTTCTTGCGGAATCTCGCTTTGCTCGTCGTCTGAAAAGACGGAGCATCAGAATATTGAGATTGGAGCCGAGGATGTTCGTTATCCAATCTAGCCGGATCAGAAACAGAAACAGTAGCTGATGGAAACTGGTCACGATGAAATACAGGGCGGGATCCTCGAAGATATGCGATGATATTCACTGCCAATACACGTACACCGTAGCCGTTTAAGTGTACGCCATCAGCGGCGAGATGTGTGTCAGCCGTGATGTTTTCATTGTCCACGACTCCCCAGCTGCGGCGATTGGCTATAATTTTCAACATTTCATTGACACTGCGCACTTTCTCGAACTCGCTTGCTGATTCTCCGCGACAATGGATTATTGTCGAGACACTTAAACTCAAGTTTTGCAACTATTTCATCTGCGTCGTGTCAAGTCGAACCTAATTTGGGGGTTATCCGCGCCATCTTGGGCCTGTGTATCACTTAGTACCGGGTAGTCATATATGGTAACAAAATGCTCACATATAAACTTGTCAAGATGAGGTAGAATATGACACAATAATTCTGTAACATAGTCTATACGGTTATCTCCACCGTGTTTTCCATAGCGTTCGTATGAACTGTGAAGTTGTGGTATGGCTATACGTAGACCAACCGTAGTTATATATTTCGGAAGTTTGTAATGAAAACTCTCAGCTCCTGGATTGCCGGAGTGGGTATTCGACTTTAATTGTGTCATTGCGTCCTACAGTGATGATATACTAGTACATATAAGTCTCTCAATAAAAGTTTCTTAAGAAAATACAGTGATCACAGTGTATCATGCATATATAAGCTCACCCCATCATAAAATGTCACAGGTGGGACCAAGACTCTAGTCCGGCATTATTATTATTATTCATTTGACCAATCGGAAAACATACAGTGAGTATAACAATCAGATAATACATAGAAATATCATAATGCATACACACAGCTTTAGGGAATTGGAGAGGAGAGAGAGAGAATGATACAATCTGCTGGTCAGGGATGACAAAAGCTATTGAAATCGCTATTACTTGAAAGCATGTCACCCCCAATCTTTCTATATGCACCAGGTTCACAAAATCACAAATTGCACAAGAAAACACAAAATAACAGTAGTACATCTGCATCCAACTTAATTTGGCGTTTTCACGGTGATATTTCACTTTGCGAATCAATATAACAGGTGTTCTGATTTACCCTCGATTAAAAGCACACGTTTTCCTTAAAGAGTAGTGTGGTTGAGGACTGGTTTGTGACCGCTCTGCCTTCTTGTTTTATTCATAGATCATGAGCCAAGTCCTTCATTCGTATTTCCCCACTACTCCCTCAGTCAACAGGTCAATATCTAGAAAGTATTATCATCTTCGTTGTCCATAATGCCAAGAGTATGGATTAGATCAATCAAAAACATATTCATCACCTCTGTCGTTACCTATCAGTTGTGAATAAACACCATTATATCGGTCCCAAAGAATCGATAGACTACTGAAATTAGTTCATATTTTAGGGGTCAAGACTTGTACCTTATTACAAAATAAATGTTGTTGTGTTAAATTATTTTCAAAGTGGCGACGATATCAATACAATTTTAAACATATAGCTGAATTTTGAATATATTTTTAATGGGTTGTTATTAATATTAATTCATCATAATGTTGCTATCATAACAGATTGAGACTCTTGAGATCTACTCTGCTGATCTCATTGAACGTCCCTTGGCATCACGTGATCTCGCTCAGTTCATCTGTAAGATGACTCATCTGAAGAACCTAACACTCAAAAGTCAGTATCACGATGACTTCTACTCAACATCGTCATCGATGGCATCATCTGCAAAGGTACTGATTTGATCATATTTTGTTGGACTCTTAGCAAATCACTTCATGTTTTTGTTATACTGTTGGTGCACTCTTTCCTATATAGTCAAACGCATGTGTACAATTTTACTCTCCCTATTGGAATGCCGTTAAGGAGAAGCAGGCAGGAAAAGTTGATCGTTTCAGGAAATGGATGTTAAAAGTGAACTTTCTGTCATAATACAAACACAAATTGAAGATTACATGATTGATAGTGAATAATATTTACCATATTTTTCATTTCATATGTCAATTCGAAGTGTTACGGAATTACTTATGGAGAGACAGCTATTTTAATTGTGAATACTGATGAGACTAAATAGTTTAATTTAAAGACCTACACTAATGATGAATCGAATCAGTCCATCCCTGTTTGTATTATTCATGTACACTTTTGGAAATTGCAAAGTGTTCCATGTATATTTGTTTTTACAATTTTCTTTAATCAAATGTCTGTATAACGTATTGCTTATGTAAATGAATGAGGATGGCAACTGTCTCGTGATGTAAAGTATTTTAATGTCAGCAATTGTTTATACAATACAATGTTGCTATCATAACAGATTGAGACTCTTGACATCGACTCTGATGATCTCAGTGAACGGCCCTCGGCATCACGTGATCTCGCTCAGTTCATCTGTAAGATGACTCATCTGAAGGACCTGACACTCAAGGGTCTGTATCACGATGACTTCTACTCAACAGCGTCATCGATGGCATCATCTGCAAAGGTATTGATTTGATCATACATTTTAAGATTTTAAGCAATCACTACATGTTTTGTTATACTTTAAAGGCCGGCTGTACTTGTTCAGCCAGAAGGGATAAGACCACTCGGCGAGGTCACTGGCAGGTGGTTATTTCATTAACTCAGCTTTCAATTAACATAAGAAAAAGAGGATCATGGGGGACCAACACCGATTGGGGAAGTTTTCTATAAAGAGGGAGCAAGTAGCTACAAGCAGTACAGTGTGGCCTTTAAGTGTACTCTTTTCTGTATAGTCAAACGAAATTGTACGATTTTACTGTACAAAGTACTACACCATTAAGAGGAAGCAGGTAGGAAAAGTTGAAGTTTCAGGAAGTTGATGCGATAAGTGAACTTTCTGTCATAATAAAAAAACGGACAAACGTTATAAGATTGATAGTACACGTAATATTCTTCATAGCCGAACTTCATCCAAATATATTGAAAAATGGCAATGGACGGCTCCTATAATGAACACAAATTTTTCACTTCTATTAGTTCTTTCAAAACTATATCTAGGGGGACTGTTTCATTGGAGATTTGTATCTTAGAGGATGATTATATTAATACTACTACTACTACTACTACTACTACTACTACTACTACTACTACTACTACTACTACTACTACTACTATTACTACTACTACTAAAAATAAAAATAGTAATAGTAATAATAATTGAATTTTAACAGCTCGTTTTCCCGAGGATCATGGGAACCATTGGTCACCGATTAGGCATTGTTTTCTATATAGGGGTAGTACAGTGGGCCTATAAATTACGAAGAAAGAAGTGCTTTAGGTTGCTTGTCGGATAATTAAAGCCCCTCTAAAGTGTTGGGAGCGCCAAAAATTTGATGGCAAAATTTCATTTAAATTATATCATAGTGTGAAAGAGGATGCCAAAGCAAATGTGTTTGAAGTCGAGTATTGAATCTATAAATTGTACTTGCGTTTAACATATTTCTATTCATTAATGATACATTTCTTATAACTTTGACTATCATGCAACTTATATTTGCATTTGCTAAAGGTTTATCGCATTTGCTCGGCTCATGTCCTTTTAAAATCCTTGTTTATACCTTACAATACCCATGAGGCTAGCATAACTAAATGTTCATGATTTTTGTCGCATTTTTTCATAAAACTTAAGAACGCAATTACATGTATATGTTTACCAACAATCAAACCTACTACATTTGCTAGTGCACTTTGATTTCCTTTTCTTATGTACATGATCACGTCCAGAGTTGTAACACGAGCCCCACCCTGACTGAGCTGACAGTGGAAGATGACACACTAGAAGGATGGCAGGATTGTGGTTCAGTGTTTGACAATGTGAAGAGGGTCACTATACAGGTACGGAGCACGATCAACTGTGACGTCATCCAGAGGATCCATCTACCAGGAGCAACAGAACTCACCATTCAAGCAGATGTGTATGCACCTCAACCGGCTGGCTTCCACGAGGAGCCCACTTCACTACCCAATGCCCTACTGATGATCTCCCCTCAGCTTGTCAAGGTAACATTCAGCGATCTGGACATTGGCAACAGTAACATGGAACTAATCTTACAAACTTTCAGATCACCTCACAACCTCAAACATCTGAAGATTATCAGGTGAGACATTATGTCATTTGTTAAAAGAGTACTTTGATATGTTTCATTTCTTTACCCCCCCCCCCTCTCTCTCTCTCTCTCTCTCTCTCGTTCTCTCTCTCCCTCTCTCTTTCTGTCTCTCTCTCTCGTTCTCTCTCCAATCCTTTTTCCTATCCATAATACACTTAGCCCCCCCCCCCTCCGAAAAAAAGTGTACACTGTTTATATTAAGAATTTTCATATTAAATGATTAAATAGTACTTATCTTTCATATCTCAAAATAAACATAAATTATTCCCTTTTCAGATGATTTGCAATTGGTTTCATACCATTCGCCCATGAGTGAGAATAGTCGTTTAACAATAGTCTATCACGAGAGAAATCGTAAATTGGGGCATTTGGTCTTTTAAATTGTTGATGAGCATTTCCATCTTGTAGAATCAAATTAAAACAATACGAAAAACCACGAGGAGCACGAAAGGAGAAATGCTGTATTCCGTCTATTTTGATACTGGTAGATTCATAAGATGCGGGTCAGATGAGGGCGTGGATGATGTCATACTTGCTTGCAATAAAGATCAGGTCATGGAGGTGGAGGTGGAGCGTGGCAAACCGCGTCGGTAAGTCCTTCAGACTCTTACTTCCAGGCTTGCAGTGCTCTTTAAGGTTCTACATGTCCCATTTGTAGGTCAAACAAATGAAAAGGTTGAATTTCAACAGCATTTAAAAAACAATACTTATTAAAGACTTCCCTCAAAAAGAAAAGGTTTGAAAATGGCTTTTGGTGGTAAAATAACGACTATAGTCTCGCATCAATTGGTGCAAAATGTATCAAAAAGTTGACAAATGGCGTGCATGTAAATTAATATTCCTTTGGAAATGTGTAATCATGAATGTCCAAGGGTGCCTATTGCATAATAGGCTTAGGTTACTGGATTAGCGAAGTGATAAACTAAAGTTATTTATACTATTTTTTATATTACATGTTGGCTTATTTCTTTACATTATTCGCTCATGTTTGTATCAACACGTTTTCTACGTATTCATTAACTGATTAACAGATTGTGCCCGTTTTCATGTTGTAAAAGAAAATAAGTTCAATTTAATTCAAATTAAATTAGTAAAGATGGTTCTGTTTGACGTAAAGCTGGGTGATATTCAATCTCTCTTCTTTGCCCTCCGTTTACTGCTCTATGTGATTATGTTGTAATGTAGCGCTGTTTGTATGTTGATGCACACATTTACACTTCTCTCTCACTCTCTCTCTCTCTCCCTCTCTCTCTCTCTCTCTCTCCCCTCTCTCTCTCTCTCTCCCCTCTCTCTCTCTCTCTCTCTCTCTCTCTCTCGCTCTCTCTCTATCCCCATCACTATAGTCTTTTATTTGATTAATCGTAGAGATGGCACCACACTCGATCTGACGAATCAGACGGAGCAGACAATCTTTGCACACAAACAGGAAATATGGGCTGAAATGAAAAGTGCCTCAATCATCATCCCTTTTCTTTTACCATTGTCATGCAATCGATTTCAGTATTCATCCACTGAATCACGTTGACATTAATATGATTTAGACGGATGTGCAATATATGCTTTACATCGGTATTGCAGCTCTTGTGATTGTGATTTTGAATTCCCTTCATAATGTTACTCTTACTGTTCTTGCATTTAATATACTTTAAAGGGTGTTAAGTGGATTTACACGCTGAAAATCTCAAACCTTGTAAAAGGACCAAAATGTTGTAAAATATCATGATTGAAATTTTATTAAATGTACGATGGAAAAATATTCATTATTAGAAAAGTAAATAAGTAATAATTCTATTCGAATTTGAATTGTGCAACTAGCAGTGCTTTACACACCACATTTGCTATGTAGAGAATGTACACGATATTGTATGTTCCTAGAGTATATAATAATAATAATAATAATAATTATCTTTTAAAGTCCACTCCAAATTTTATTAAGTTAAACCAAAAATGGAAATTCTTTTTGCCCAATTGATCGTGAGCCCGGCAGCCACTAAGCAGCGCCAGATCGACGTTGCTCTATCCCTTATTGTTATACGCCAAACAAGGTAGCAGCAACTCCCGTCTGTTAACGTCTTTTGGTATGACGCGGCCGGGGTTCGAACCCACAACCTCCCGCGTCAGCGATTGGAGGAGGCATTGACGCAACATAAGAGAGTAATATCGTACCGAAAAGTGAGTGCAAATCAAACAGTGCAAACCTCCCTTCGAATTAAGAGTGTTATATCCTAACTGAATCACCTAGCTCGGTTAAAGCAAGGAAATAAAGCAATCTAAACGCAACCTCGTGTGCAACAGGCATTGTCAAAATGATTTCTGTGCCATTAAAATCAATTGTCTTTTATGATTTATCTATTAGTCATCTATTACTTCTCAGAACCTATAAATGAGAGACTATAAACACGGCAAACATGAACAAGTGAGATTAATTTGTTAAAATAAAATAAAATATATAAATACAGAATATGCAAACGGTAATGCAAAAATAAAAAATAACATGAATATACATACAAAGAACAAAAAGTATAAACGAACCAACTATATAAACGAACCAACAAAAAGTAAAAACAAAAATGATGACCGTTTCTATTTTACCCTTTTCTGAGCCACGTAATCATAATTTATTAATACCCCATCATCTATCAAAAACACACTATTGGACAAGGTCATGAAATTTGCTAACTTGCAGGCTTATTTTCTGTGTGCATGACTACTTAAACCAAAAATATAGATTGATTTTCTCAAAATGGAATGTAAACATAGAAACGATTTTATTATTGATATGCTTATATTGACGATGTAAGCATGTGATTTCCTACAAGCGAAAGAGTTATAGGCAAAACCGTTTGAAGTTGTATCCACAGATAGGAAATGAAGGAATGTATTTATTCGTATATTAAGGCCTGTATCGACCTTCCAAAAAGGCCAAATGAAGACCACTTTTTATTTCACAAATAAAATACTGTATAGTTGTTCTATCCAATATATCTTGTGTATGAACTGTTGCATGTATCATATTAAAGGTTCTTATGATTAATGATTTTATAAGTATTGCATTCGGTATCAGCAAAATATCGTTGTAACGCCAAATATTGTTTACTGAAATTTGAGTATTTTGTTTATATTGATTAGATTATAAATAATTGCATATACATCGTTAATTTACAATGTAGGTCTATTTTGTTGCACGCATGACTAACTATATATATTAGAAACCATTTTCTTGAATTTAACCGTGATGTAACATGAAGTGAAAAGAATGTTTGCATGTCAATTTGAACGTAAATAATATAATGTGCCTTAAATTTGTCTACTTTATGTATCTATCTTTTCGTTTATTGCGTATGTTCCAATTTATATAAAGTTTGGTGTATTTTTATGAGCATGGCTATATTTGTTGTTGTAATTAGTTTTCGGAATACAATTATTCTGCATTACCATGTACAGCGGCAAAGGGATTTAACCGGCAATATAATGCGTTGTATAAATGTATCCTTATTGTTATGTTGTTTAATGAAACCCCTACTGATCCGAGAATTAGATTATTTTGAACTTTGTATTAGGCAGACGTTCGTCCACATTATTGAAATAAAATTAATTCTGTTTAAAAACTGTTTAATTCAATAAATGTTACTCCAGTCTCTAATTCAGATATATAGGCCTATAACCCCCTTCTCTATAGCTATCTCTCTTTCTCTCTCCTCATTGTCGAGTTTTAACAATCAGTTGGATCAGCGCAATTAACGTTCTTTTTTTTAATTTACGGAATTTCCTTGCTTCTTTTTCCATCATCATCATAGAGGTGTCGTAGTCGAGTGGTTTCATCACTTGACTGGAAATACAAACATCTTGTGTTCGAGGCCCTGCACGACACTAATATCAATGAGCAAGGCATTTAATCTACATTACTCCTCCCAACCTAGGTGTTTTAAAATAGGTACCCGGTGAGGATGCGATAGTCAATGTGACTGGAATAGCACATATGCATTCACGTGGACAGTCGTCGTGCCAACTCGTGTTATAATTATGTTCTCTAGCTCGTGCGATATACCCTGTATCCCATTGACTGTAGGCCACTGTATTATTCGTTATCCCCATCGATCTTAAATCGATGGTTGTGGTATAGGCCTACATGTAACCTCTACAAGTTTTGTTTGCACATCTGATTTACGGCCTTTAACAGCTCACATTGAATAACGATAATAGTTGTATAAACATGTACAATGGCAATATTAAATTGCCCGTATGAATTAAGTTCATATTTGTATATAAGTCTTGTACGTACAACTGGCATTGTAATCTAATGCGAAAACTGATATTCCGTCTTCTATAATGTTGTATGTTTTGCAGTTTAGCTTTGTTTGAATGGAATATGCGAATATCAACCATTTCGAAAACCATCACATATCCTGTCTATATATATATATTATATTTAAAAAGGCCCTTTTCATGAACTTACTATGTCAGCACTTACTATGTCAGTTTTACCTTCTTTTCCTTCTACTTTCCCGGTTCTTTCTTTTTATAATTTTTTTTTAAAATCGTCTTCTGTTGCACTTTCATGTCAATATACGAATGTGTTAACTAATTTGAAAGTGGGAATTTATAATCTTTTTGTGTATTACCTTTATCATTTCATGATATTCTCTCTTTCTTCTTACAATCATCCCTATTCATCTTTTATTTCGCATCAGCTCTCTTTCCTTTTCTCTCTATATCCTTCCCCTTCTGCTGACTCTTTTCCTTCTCTCCCCACCTCGATCTATTGTCCTTCTACCTTTATCACCCTCTTTCCAATTGCCCCCTTTCTTAGTGCTCATGCTATGGTTAATTTTACATTTTAATGTCAACGTCTACATATATTTATCACGTATGTATTCCGATTATTACTGTTTTTGTTGTTTACATTATGTATTTTATATTCCTTGTAAAAAGATACCATGTTACATTTTTATGTTGTTACCTTGGAAAAATACAAATTGAATTAAATTGAATCGAATTAAAATTGATTGAATAGACACTGCATTTATATTAAAGTAAACATGTGATGGTAATTATCAATGTGACGATATGTAAAATTGATGAAGGATTTGATTTCTAGCATTCGTTTTTGTATTACATAGTAAACCTCTTCTGATTTACATATATTTCTATATATTTACCAAGTATTGCTAATAAGATAACTGTATAAGTGTTATCATGAATGAATCCATTGACTCATATTGTAAGATATAATGCTTTGAGTTTTAATGATATTTCTGTTTAATATCTTGAAAGCGTTTAACAGAAATGTAGGGCAGTTGTTTTCATTATATAATGGAGGTGAACATATACTGATTACTGTCACAGTGTCATACTCAAGTATGGTAGCTGTAAAAAGTATTAACCATCATATACACTACACTGATATTCAATGGAAAATAAGATTCAAGGGTTGCTTGCATCTATCCTGTGCATTGTCTTTCACAATCATAGTAAATAATGTGCGTTGTGTCAAGATTTGGTTACAACTTATTATGACATATTATGACAGAATGGGCACTTTTCATGTATATGAACAGTACAATAAAATCTGAATCTGAAACAAGTCGATAGTTTTGTTCTTTTATTTGCAAAGAGTGTCTTGTATATTTTGTATACGTATGTATATGAAAAGGGGGATTCCGAATGCTGCATTTAACGAAATAGGATTAAACAAATGTATTACTTAATAGTAGAAAGAAATTGCAGATGAGAAAGATTTATGATTATGACGATGATGATTAATGTTATTATTATCATTATTATTATCATTACAATATTGATCTATTCAGCATAAAACAAAATCAAGAAAAAGTGAACAGCGGAGCCAACCAAATTAAAAAAAACTCACATGGATGCCGGGAAAGGAAAACGAGTAATAATAACTATAACCTGTCGTCTTTTCTAGATTCAACAGACAATTAGTTGTAAGCATAATTTAAACAGCTGAAAACATTGGTGTTATTCCTTAAAATTGGAAAAGAAAGGAGTGAGCCAACTATAATTGTGTTCATGCATAGGCCTATAGATCTAGATAATATAAAAGAAGTGAATACATGTACATGTTGCTCAAGCAGGACATTGAACATAAATATGGATGTGAAGAGGGCGCTGTGCAAGTGCGTAGAAAATTAAACATTGAGAATGGCCACATTTTATGGGTTTGACTTGGAATCAAAGGAAATCCCATCGTATGATATGAGGTCATTAACAATGCATTCGAATTTTAAAAAATTGGGAGTGGCTGATAATATGGAGCTGACTTGGGAGAAAATAAAAATAACAATATAATAATGGGTTTGTTTTTATTCAGTACCAATTAAGAATAACATCAAGGGATCATAAATTGCAAAATATGAAAAACATAAATACATGTCATTCTCTTGCATAGCCGAATTAGTATCGGGTCTTTGGATTTAACTTACATTAATACATTGGACTTGAAGTTTTGAGAGCCAGGTACTAAGAGATGAAGACACAACATTAGTCTACTCTTCAGATCAAAGGGAGAGTATCACAACAGCGGAAAGATGTGTGGATGGTAGAGCTATGGAGCCTTTGGGTGCGAGATTTTACATTTAGATAATTGAATTAAACGATTTCAGAATATCATTGTTTAATATGAATTGCAGACCGAGTTGCTTCGCAATTCATGAGGCGTTCAAGACTAGAACAAAATTAATGAAAATATAGTGTCGCCTATAGAATAAATAAAGTGTACCAGTTTAAGTTTGGGAGGCGTACATAATATTCCTCATTTTAAGTTGTGGAAGAGGAATACACAGGAAAGGAAATTTCATAGCAAGAAAACAGTTTAAATCAGTAATGATATAGCGATATTCCTACTCTATACAATCTGATCGAATGTCATAATATATATATATATATATTTCCTTCATATTCATCTATACATCTACTGCGTATTAGAATTTAAAACGAAGACGCCCCCTTTCCAATAAAAGAAGGGAAAAAGGAGGAGTTCAATTTGTTTAC